CCCAGGACCGTCTTATCCAAGCTCTCCATCTCCCCCGGGGGTCGCGAACCCACTTCTGCCCGTCCACATACACAAACATCTTCACAGAACAACACAGATCCCTCAGAACTGGGCCACACGACCGTCGTAACATAACGGCAAAACCCGGAAGCACAGATCTGAGAATGCGGTGTGCAACACACACACACACACACACACACACACACGCACACGCGAAGTGAACGATTCCTCACATTTTATTGTTCTCCTCCCAACCTTTAGGATTTTCCCCTCATAAACTACAATGGCATGATTATGGGTTATTGAGAACAATTGTTTGCCTGAAATTGCTCTATTAAACCTATCTAATGCATAAAACCACCATCACTATCAAATATTACCACCTTTCCATTCTGGGTAACTGGCGGCACTACCTGAAGTGTCACTCTTCGAGACGTTCAATGTTCGGATTTTCAACTTTTGGATGTTTATCAATCTTTTTCACGTTCGATGACGTTGCGCAATCATTGCCACTATTTCTTTCCAAAAGTGCGGGAATATCAACGGTATGACGCGTGAATCTAACTGAGTTTCCGTACCAACTTTCGTAGTAGACAACTTTTTTGTCGCCCGGTTCTATACCACGTCTGATCTAGCTGGGCCTTATATAGTTCGTCACTCCAAGTCCTGGGGCTTAGGTTGTTGGTCTTCGTGGCAATCTATACTGGGGTCGAATGACTGCACCAAGGTTGACTTATTTGAGTGAGAGAAAGAAAACACACAGCGAAAATTGGATCGGGTTGTAGAGTGAAAACGGCAATGAGCGGATGACTGCGGTCGTTGAGTATCTTATGGGCAAAATTCTCACATGAATCAGTATGAAAATCACACAATTTTGTGATTAGAGTGTTTAAAGGAATAAGAGAAACACCGCTGGTGATTACCAAACCGCGACGAGGAGTGATGAAATCCTTTTAAAGTAATCCAGGGAAAATAACCGGTGAACAATAAAGTATGATAGGAAAAATCCATTGCTAAACAAAACAATATATAGTTTCATGCTTCACTCTAAGTCATCGTAGGAAGGATAAGCCACGCAGTCTACCATCACAGGCTACCACATAAGAGGACCACCGTAGATTGCTATCTATGGGGACTCCTAGGTATTTCGTGGTATGTGTTCTGGTGATGTCTGAGGGTTCCAAGGGATACCCGGATAGGGGAAGACTAAAAACATTCAGCTGAAGAGAGAATGAGTGCACTTGTAACAAACCGTCATAAAATGATTCTGTCAGATTACTTTGAAATGATTTGGCATAATACCACATCATCAGCATAGTTAATGGTCTTGGCTGGTGGGATAGACGTACTTGCTGAAGGGTGATGTTTCACCTTGGGGTTTGTCACATGCCGCTAGGGGGATAGAAGTGCGATATTAACCAAGGCAAACAATTGTTGAAGACGGTTGAAAGTGATCAAACTATAATCTTACCCGGGGGATATGCGATTCGCGAACAGGGATCTCGGTCTAATAGATCCCATTGTAATGCCTGATCAGTCTAATAAACGGTTGAGGGTCACGGATCGAATGTCGTGAATGTTCACATTTGTGCGTACATTCAGTCTCTACGCCCATCTGGTTAATTTGCCTTCTGTGCGTTTATTCTGATACTTTTCACGTTTTTTCAAAATTTTTTCCTTTTATTTTTTCTTCATC